GAGGGAGAAGTTTGGTGGGGGCGGACACGGAAGGGTTAATCATGGCTGGTTGCGGGTTACCTGGGCTCAGTGCTCGCTTTGGATGCGGAGGGGAGACTCTACCTGCTGCTGCTGGAGGCGCTTCTTCTTCTTCTTCTCCGTCTTCTTCTTCTTCTCATTTTTGGGAAGGCACTTCCTGGGTGTGAGGCTTTCTCATCCTCTCTTTATAGCTGTCCCTGTGTCTAGTCCCCGCCCCCAACTCTTCTCTCCTTCTTATCTGTGTTGTTGTGTGTATTGGAGTGTCAGTCACTACCTGCCTCTCTCTCTCTCTCTATATAAATATATTTCTCTTTCTTCATTGCCTTCTCTTTTGCTGTTATTTCCTTCTTTTCTTCCTTTTTCTCTCTCTTTCTTACTTCCTCTTTTTTTTCTCTGTCTCTCTTTCTTTCTCCCTTACTTCCTCCTCTTTCCTTCTCTCTTTCTCTCTTTCTTTCTCTCTCTCTCTCTCTCTCTCTCTGTCTCTCTTTCTTTCTCCCTTACTTCCTCCTCTTTCTCTCTCTCTTTCTCTCTCTCTTTCTTTCTTTCTCTCTCTCTGTCTCTCTTTCTTTCTCCCTTACTTCCTCCTCTTTCTTTCTCTCTTTTTCTCTCTCTCTCTCCTTCTTTCTCTCTTTCTTTCTCTCTTTCTTTCTTTCTTTCTTTCTTTCTTTCTTTCTCCCTTTCTTTCTTTCTTTCTTTCTTTCTTTCTTTCTTTCTTTCTTTCTTTCTTTGTCTTTCTTTCTTTCTTTCTCTCTCTTTCTTTCTCTCTCTCTCTATCTTTCTTTCTCTCTTACTTCCTCCTCTTTTTCTTTCTTTCTTCCTTTCTTTCTCTCTCTTTTCTTTCTTTCTCCCTTACTTCCTCCTCTTTCCTTCTCTCTTTCTCTCTCTCTTTCTTTCTCTTTCTTTCATTCTTTCTCTCTCTCTCTCTCTCTCTTTCTTTCTTTCTCTCTCTCTCTCTTTCTTTCTCCCTTACTTCCTCCTCTTTCTTTCTTTCTTTCTTTCTTTCTTTCTTTCTTTCTCTCTCTCTTTCTTTCTCCCTTACTTCCTCCTCTTTCTTTCTTTCTTTCTTTCTTTCTTTCTTTCTTTCTTTCTTTCTCTCTCTCTTTCTTTCTCTCTCTCTCTCTCTCTCTCTCTGTCTCTCTTTCTTTCTCCCTTACTTCCTCCTCTTTCTCTCTCTCTCTCTCTTTCTTTCTATCTCTCTTTCTTTCTCCCTTACTTCCTCCTCTTTCTTTCTTTCTCTCTTTCTCTCTCTCTCTCTCTCTTACTTCCTCCTCTTTTTCTTTCTTTCTTCCTTTCTTTCTCTCTCTTTTCTTTCTTTCTTTCTTTCTCTCTCTTTTCTTTCTTTCTTCCTTTCTTTCTCTCTCTTTTCTTTCTTTCTTCCTCTCTCTTTTCTTTCTTTCTCCCTTACTTCCTCCTTTCTTTCTTCCTTTCTCTCTCTCTTTCTTTCTTCCTTTCCCTATCTTCTATCCCAGGCAATATTTCTCGGCTCCCCTGATCCATGAAGACAACTAGCTACATATATGATTGGACAATAAGATCACATTTTCTGTATTTCAGAAACACAAAACTCCGCCTGGAGTCCTTTGAGGGGTTAATGCAGCAAGAAGTGATAATAACACTGAACATGGCCAGGTTATGAGTCCCTGTTATCGGAGGACGTTAGATAAAATGCACCCACATATAATATAATATGGATAAAATCTTAATGTTTGTCTTAATATACGGTATATACATTAGCTGGGAGCACACCGAGGTGTTTGTCATTCTTCTGACACTGTAGACAGGAGTTTATATAAAACAGGAAATGAGGTTCTCAGCTCCTCCTGGCTCCGTGTCCCCTGCAGATCCTGCGTCTGGTATTTCCTGTTTCTTCTACTTCCAATGAAAAGCGTGCTCATTTTTAGGGGCCCCCAATTAGAATTGAGCCTGCTGAGGTCAGACTCATACAGGACACGTTGTGATTGGTTGTCATGAGTACTGTCCTTCAGTGTCAGGGTTTCAGTCTAAAATCTCCTTATGGAATAATGATGAAAGAAGGAGCAGTATCCCCCAGCGGCCAATCAGAATCTTCCATGAAAACTCAGAAGGTATGGGCTGCTGACATTGCTTCCCTGTCATCCTGATCCAGTGGCTTCCGTACTTCCTATGTGACTGTATACTTCTAGGGCAGCGCTGAGGTATACAATGTATACTTTCTATGTGCTTGTATACATCTACGGCTCTGTCCCTAATTCCTAATTGTTCTGGTGTTGTCACCCTGTCATAC